CATTATAACTTATGAATGTTAACCCTGTCGAGGGATTTTACACTTTTCGTAATAGGCGTTTGTTTCCCTTTTATTTTATGGGTGATAATTGTTATGTAAATGTTTCTCGTTTTACATATCTTTTATTAGAGTTCAAGACTGTAAAACGTAAGGTTTATTGCTTTTGTGTGATATGTAGAGATTTTAGCGAATTTATTAATAGTTGAACTATTCTAAAGTGGTTATGTAATGTACAATAGTATATTTGTGAATGATAATTGCAGTCTTTTAAATGATTGCATTTTGAGAGAATAATTTGTAATGTAGTTTAGTGACTTATTATATATTTATATTAATAGATGATTGTAATGATATGTAATATTGTAGTAGATGGTTGAAACGAACGGCGCGATATAGGTACAAATTCGCCGAGTCCTCTGCTTTGGATACATGTAAACACTCGCTCGGATTTTCGCTTAGGCTAGAGTCGTCGGTTTTACAGGACCTTTCTGAGGTCACTAACAATCAGTCTAGTCTCGGACACGAGGCCGAACAGTTCAGCTACGTTCGTTTAGTGGTGAGTTATACACATATACGTACTGTTTTATACGTAATCGTTATCACTGTGTACATGATTCCACTAACGCGCATTCTTGAATAAAGCGAATCAAAAATTATAATAATCTTCCTAACATAGATAATAATTAGAGTAGTATAAGTTACTTAATTTTGGGAGATTAGAATATAGGTTAATGAGGTATGATATATTTATATTAACAATTACACCACTTAGAAGTATTATATAATGTAGTACTATTAAATTAGTATTATAATGTAGTACATATAATGTAGTAGTATTATGCAATGTAGTACTATTATAGGTAATAATTAGACTCGTATAGATTACTTAATTTTGGGAAAATGGATTTATCTCAAATAAAATAGTTTAGAATATAGATTAGTGAGTTATGATATATTTATATCAACAATTAAACCACTCAGAAGTAGTATCATGTAATATAATACTTTTATAGATAATAATTAGACCTGTATAAATTATAGAATTTGAGAGAATGAATTTATCTCAAATAATATAATTTAGAATATACGTTAGTGATTTGTTATATATTTATATTAATAATTAAAGCATTCTAAAATGATGTTAGGTAATGTAGTATTACTGTAGATAATAATTAGAGTCGTTTATGTTACTGAATTTTGAAGAATGAATTTATCTCAAATGAAATAATTTAGATATAGATTAGAAATTTATTATATATTTATATTAATAGTTGAACCACTCTAAAATGATTTCATGGAATGTAATATTGTAGTAGATTGTTGGAAGGAACGATGCGACACAGGTTCAGACTCGCCAGGCCTCTGTTTTCGTTATATGTAAACACTCGCTCGGATTTTCGCTTATTGTTAGGCTAGAGTCGTTGGTTTCACAGGACCTTCCTAAGGTTATTAACAATCAGTCTAGTGCCAGAATCGAAGCCGAACAGTTCAGTCACGTCCGTTTAGTAGTAAGTTATACATATAATACATATTATTTTATACCCAATCGTTATCTCTGCGCACGTGATTCCACTAACGCGCATTCTTGAATAGAACGAATCGACATAGGTTGTTATTAACATAGGTAATAATTAGAGTCATATAAATTACTGAATTTCAAGGGAAGGCACTTATCTCAAATAATATAATTTAGAATATAGGTTAATGATTTCTTATATATTTATATGCGAAATTCATCTTATTAAGTACGAGATTTCTCTGTAGTTAGAGCTTTATATTCCCCGCTGTGTAATTATGGCAAAAACTCTCATATAGTATTAGCATAATATTACAAAGTATCTTGACGTTTATTTGGTGAACTTTCTTATTAGAAAGTAAAATAAATGGTTATAATTCGAGTATGAGCTACTTTCAAACTCACGCAAGTTCTTCCTCTACATTATACGTTCTAAATAAAATTAATAAAATTGTATCAATTTTTTATTATAGTATATATACTATTTTATTATACTATTATATAAACGTACTATAATAGTAGGATAAAATGGTACACTTGAGGAAGGATTCTCTCGTGGCATTTTTCTTGTTTAGGAATATTCCGATTCCATGCATGCAAATGATTCCTCATCAGCGGAAATTGGCTCCCGAGGTGTTAGGTCGACGTGTTAGAATAGAACCGGAAGTAGAAACGATTTTGCACCTATCATTCCGTGTACATCGATTGTTCTTCATTTCCCTCTAATGCGTTTCTCGTTGCAATACCGCATGCACCTTACCCGTTTCTCCTCTTACATGCCAGCTGTCGTTGATCCCTGTAGATCTTACGATCCCCAAAGAAATCGATGCGAAATGCCAGCACGTTCGCGAAATTGTACGTTCGCGAGTGCCCTTTGATCGATGAACGTGCACCGTTCACGATGCAACGTATCTTTTATCGATCGTTTCAACCACCGATTACAATTTTATCGTGTGAATTTTAAGACTTGTAAGCTCATTAAACATCATAAAGGTATTGGAACATTGAATTTTAATATCAATAATTGGGTAAATATGTCTTCATAATTTTACAAGTATCTTCAAGTAAAAATATATTATTTCGCACCTATTCTCGGTATTTTGATTACACAGGTAAATATCCAAACGTTCGTACATTCGATCTTCTACTAATTACACATAAGGTGAATTAATAAATTTACCCTGTCGATAGTTTGAAAATTTGTTGAATAAAAATTGCTTAGAAAAATATTATTTTCGAAGTAATACCAAATAATTTTTATTGAATCGAAATGTTATTCTCTTTATCACCAATTTAGCCATCGAGAATTTCCCTTGGGGAAGTTTTGAAGTAATAATTTTTAATAGACTGCCCTAGGCATAAATTAAAATTAGGCTTAAATTAATAAAAATTTTGCATTGACAAATATATCATGTAGCAGGGAGTCGCGTGTAGGAAAATAAATATCTGGGTGTTTGAAACAATGTTAAGCCAGTGGAATAACATCAAAGTCTGGTCAGGATCCCTTCGTAGGTCGCGCGAGTTGAATGGCCGGCGCTGTTATGTTTATCTCCGTGCAGTACGCGCTAACAGAAACGAAAAGAAAGTAAAAGGAGGTCCCGACAGAACGTACGTGTAAAAGACGTGCTCTATTTGCGTCCGTGGAATGTCATTTCGCGTTCGTTGTTCCTTCTTTCTACTTGTTTTGTGGCGAGTCGCGACACGAAACCCTCCCTGGAGGCATTTAAGAGTCTTGCGATGTTCCATTAAGAGGAATGACTGAATCACTTGCGGATTCTTTTTAGAGAGGACTAAGGGACACGTCTCTTGGGTGAACACGTGAAGTTACTTGCGAAAACAACATCATTAAATCCCGATACCTTATTAGCCACTTTGTTTCAGGTTTAGAACAGGTTGAGAAATATCCTAGCTTGCCCGGTGATCTCGTTGTTGTAATATTTTTACGAGCGTTCTGATAATCTAACGCTCTACTATTTCGATAGGATTGATCTCGTTAGTTCAATAGCTCAATGTTGCAATATTTCCATGAGTCGATCCCTGATCTCTTAATATTCGTTTCGACATCCAACATCCGACATTCGACATCGATAATGTTACGATACCCATGTAGTACTTTAATACTTCAATATATCAATATCCCAATGCTCCAATATCAGTATTTCGCAATATCTTAATGTCTCTTTATTTAAAATTTCACGATTTCATCTCAATAATTCTAAAAGTCTAAAAGGCAGTTACTCCGCTACTTTAGTCATCCAGTTCTTTAATGCTCTAACATGTGGATACCCTATTAACTTTATCACTGGAATACCACTGTATTAAAATATTTAATATATTCCACTAGTCTGATACTATAAACACCTAGATTCTTCGCTACCTTAGTATTTTGATATTTTAATTTCCTAGTGGCCCAAGATCTTCATACCCTAAGAGCCCCATAGATAGGTTCCTGATGCTCCGGGCTTCTGAATATCTCGATACACTTAATTCTCGATTTCTCCATGTCCCGATACTCGAAATCTCCGATCTCCGTTGGGACAGTGTCTCGATTACCGTGCAGAGGTGAAATAAGAAACGTTATTGAGCCATTAAGGAACGAATGGCGATAGTTTCTCTCGGTCGAGGTACGATATGACGAAATATGGAGCACGGAATCGATAAGAACAATGTACTCTGCTTACTTTGACCTTGATTTGAATTCCCTCTCAAATGGGCCGTGCTAAAAGAAGACGTTGTGGCTCTCGGGCAGAATGCCACGCAGCTCGGCGACTTCCTCGAGATTGGAAGCTGAATCGCTGGAGGAGCGGTATTTGACATTTCGCTCGGCTCGCCGACCGTCAAGTAAGAAAGAAAATACCTCCGGGACGTTTCATTTTTAAACTTGAAGGAACGCTTTTCACGCACGTACGCGGCTCGGTATTTTTCCCAGGGACCACGGCAGCCGGCCCTGCTCCGTAATTGAATATGAATTATGCGCGAAGCGTGACCACGTGCGAATGTCCCGACTTGCAACTTTTTCCGACCCGACTTGCCACTCAAAATTAATATTCTTAAACGGTTGATTATAGACACGATGCAATTTATGTGCAAAATTCTGCACGAGACATGCCGGGCAATGTGAAAAAGTTGCTGAAGAATTTGATGCGGGTACTTATTAAAGCGTGTACATCAATTGAGCCGTAACACGTGCTGAATTGTCGCAATATTTGTATGGAATTTATACAGGAATTTCAAATTCGTTGAGATTTATCGAGAATCACGTAGGAAATTTTTATTTTGACCTATCTTCACTGTAATATAATATATTTACAGATAGTTTCTCAGTTACTCTAATAAATATTACGCGTATGTCTAAACTATTTGACCGTTTCATAGATTGCTCGGTATGTAGAGAAATAAAGAGATCGGGAATAAATTTGAATAATAATATACCGCTGTTTATTCGAGCAGAATTTAATAGAGAAATGCATTTTGTTTATTACAGTTTCGATAATTTTTCAACGAGCTAAGTACTGGAACGAGATCGCAGAACGAACCACTACTGGAGTCTGCCTGGAATTTTAAATAGCACGTTTATTACCAGTGGAAATCAGCTGAACATGGAGAGGAATATTCGCAGCTTCGTACACTGCCCCACGCGAGCAACGAATAAGGAAGAACAAATAAGGTATGAAAAACAAATCAAAACCGAGATCTACTATTTTGCATAAGCGGCCAACTAACATTCCCGATCGAGAGATCATTCGATTCGCAGTTCCCGCGTGGAACAACGAGAACAGCATAGGGACCAAGTCGGGTACAATCGCGCTGTAAATCCCATCCGGTCGTGTTTAGCAAACATTGAAACGTAAGGATGAAAAACAGCGGAGGAAGTGGACGCAATCGGATACTATCACCTCGTGAATCGCAGGCTAGCAGAATTTATTTCGCGTATGGCGCCGTAAAGCGAGCGAAAATAGTGGCGAAATTCAATAGATAAAGGAGTATTATCGTCCCACCGCTATTTATTCCCGCCGATCATTCCATGGAAAACGACCGTACAAGGAACCTTAACGCGCATTAAGCTGATACGTGACTCTAATACACTCTATGCACACCACTCTTCGTAATTATTTAAATTACAGTAATTTGTAGTTCGAGTATAGCTGCGCGGAAATTTTCGTAGTTAACATTCTTTAATTCCGAGGAATTATACCGAAAATTTAGTATCTTTAAAACTATACTCCGAAATACCGAGATATATCGAAGGAAAGGAATTTCATTTTATTAGCTCATTAATAAAACTATAATGTGTGGGCAAACGGTCCCAATGAAATTTACGGTATGAGAATTTTTCCACTCGATAGAAGTTTCGAATGAAATAGGAATAATTATAGACATTTGTAATTCCATATGTACCGTTGTCTTCTTCCGTTTTCATGAGTGGTATGCTAAGGATGGAATAGGCAAACGGTAGAAATTTTTTTTTTATTAACGAGTATACAGGTGTAAATTTGCCACGTGAGCATTTAGTACAATTTTTGTAGGATTTAGATATACATTACATTTTTTGTTTGCTGTGTTATCGAGACGAGTAATTTTGCTGTGAAAATTATTGTGAGAAGGTAGAAGCTAGACTTCAAGAATGAACCACGCGAACGTGTGTACGAATTTTATATTCGAGGGACGATTCTTCCATTTTCCCCATACATAACGTCGTTGGTAGAATCGGAAGCGATGCTGTATATATTTCAGTCTGTTCGAATCTCTTTCTTGTTTCCTCGTGTTGCCTGTGCATCGAGGAACGACGCGGATTCCCGTTTGAAAACGAAGGCAAAGCCCTGCTGGCTGGTCCCATTTGGCGATCTGCCTGGCGCGTCTGTTAACTGGACTAACCGGCTTTACTGTTTCGGAGCGTTCCGAATATTTGGTAATTAATCGGCTCTATTCTTAACAAGGCTGTGGGCAGGCGCGTGCCAGAGAAATCGGAGCAGTGGTAAAAGTTAATGGAACGTCAGGCGGAAGATAAATTTGCGACACGCTCGCGATGGGGCGAACTTTCTTTCTACGTGTTGGCATGAACAGGGAACGTGCTTTGGCGGAGAACGTATCGGGATAAAAATTGCTGGTCCCGGTTGAACTTCGTCGCGTGATGCTTCAATTATTTCGGGATAAAGTGGTGGCACTTCTTTTGCCTCCCGAGTGGTTCACGGTATACACGTTAGCGATAAATGGACTCCGAGAGAAGAAAGTAATTGGAATGCAAGACATTTTCATTAACGCAGATAAATGGTAGAGATCGTCTTTCAGGAGGAGCCTAAATATTTTCGTCGTTTACTTAGAGCTTTTATTCAAAAATATCTTTTATACCAAATACTTGGACCATATATCCAGGGTTTCGAATATTCTCTATAGTGTTATATAGGAAGGTATTAATAGTTTTGTTAAAATAGACCGATTGACAAAGATTTTCAATTTGTATTCACGAGACGTGTAATTCTTCATAGACTCAATTATTGACTCTCGGGGTATTCAAATTAGATTATATTAGTGGATGATAAAGAAAAAGTCGAGGGATAGTAGTAAGGACTGTTTCGATTGTGTTACGTTATCTGTTTATATGAGACATCGTATGATCGCATCGCATCGCATCGTAGACGATAATTAGGGTGCAATACGGTTTCATGGTACTCATACCTCCGACTCATGTACTCCTATTATTATCAGGCAATTTTTACTGCAGGAAAACATAAAACGTTAATTGGGTAGCTTTTATTTTCATGCATAAAGCTCAACTATCGTTAAGATTCGTAGCACGAGCTTTAAACCTACAGATAAGTCGAAACAAACAGCCATCCCTGTATTTCTCTGAAACGAATGCGCGTTTACTATTTGGATCGTTACCTGATTATTTTATAGTCCATTGAAACAGCTCGTAAGAAAGTTTACTCGGCTCGAGTTCGATATAACGTTTTCCTACCTCTTTATACTTACGGCGCATAAAACTTAATGTCGGCCATTTTCTTCGCGACGCGTCAAAGTAAAGCGACTCCGCTCGCAGCGCCTCCTACGTCCTCAAAGGAGGAACGTAAATTCGTGGTGATACCCGTGATAATTCGAGATTACGAGCCGGCACGCGAAATTTGAAACAGCTGGCCGGACACGCGTGTCAAAGTGGACAGTCAGCTTGTTCGGCGCCGTTTGCATATTTGTTTGTTTAGCTGCGGTTCAATAACCATGCCAACTATTAATCTCTTCGCCACGAAAGTAACTACGGCGGGAATGTGGCAGCGCCGATTGCGGAGTAACGATTATGAAACTGCAAAAGGCACGGATATACGTGACGAATGCACGCAGCCGGGCATTAAGTCTGTACTCCGGTGTTAGGTGCTCCTTCTCGTTTAAACTCATTTTCACCATATTACGTTCCAAGTGCCATTACGATGTTTATAGAGCTAGATGTGGGTATGATTGTAGCGTCTTTTTAATTCTTCTTAATGCACTTTCAGCCCTGAGTCAATATAATAACTCAACGGTTATTTCCCGAGCTATTACCTGACAACGTACTCGTTCCTGTTTCTTGGTCCACGATTTACTTTTCCAACAAACAATGATCGACATAGTTTTTCTCGCATCGTTAAATTGTTATTAACATACCTGGAATAACATTATCGCTGTAGTATTAACGACTCGTTTAATTTAAAAGCGATCCCTAATACCAATGGCCATTGTCTTTCCTTTCGAATATTATTTCGAAATAATCGAATCTCTAGTCCTGCCCATCTCGTTGTAGCACGATAACACGTCGTGAAGCCGTGTTATCGTATTTGCAGCAATAACCGCGACTCCACGGGGTACAAAGCTCCGGAAGATTCTTTTTAAACCGTGTCCAGTGTTTTTTCTCGTCACGGTGTGCAGTATCGGAAAATGGTAATTGCGTTGCAGAAGAACGGTCTCGATTCGAGGAACAAAACGAATGTGCCTGTCGTTTGACAAGCAACGTGGACGTAACAGTTGCGTCTATTTCCACGCGATTCCATCCATTTGTCAATCGATCAATCTGTGCCCTAACGGCAACGCGAGGGACGACGGATAATAGACAATGTAAACGACTACGCACCAAGCGTTCCAAGATGTGACATGGCAGGATTATTATCTGGGGTACTTGGAACTGCTCATATATTCATTATTCATGCTCCTTCTTATCGACGACCATCGATCACCCGTGTAAAATGGCCAAAGCGGTGAACGATAGTTTTATAAAGGATTAGTGGGCCCATTTGCGGAGGATGTTCTGACAAGCAGCGTTCTCTCACTGTTTAAAGTGCTCCACCGACCAATCAATTATTCAACAGGCCAATGCACTTTCGAGAAGAAAGTCCGATTCTGAATAAACGATTAACCCCCGATGCTCGGTTGCACGCGTTTTCTTATCGATGAATATTTTATTCACTCGTAATCCGAGGCTTATTAGTTATCGAGTTTATATATACTCGTTCAGACCCACGGCCGTATAAACAGTCTCTCCAGTTGAAATGTCAAAAACAACGAGAAAGATATACATCTACATCTACAGTACGCCGCAAAATGGCAGCATGCACTACGAGTTTCGGTGTTCCTCGAGTAATTCCAAAGCTAAGTACACACATATGTACAATATCTCAACGAGATACAAAAAATTATAATTTCACAGGAGAAAGTTAGTCTTGATTTAATCAAATCGAATTAAATTCTTCGAGATAAATAATTACCCAACACGACAGGCCATTTCGACGATCAGATTCCAAGGAATTATTCCATTTTGAAATAGTAAATGGTTCACACCCATTCTTAAGATTGAAAGAATATAAATTACGGTTAATTTGCATACATGGCACTAGTCTGAGGAAAAAAAAATAGAAATTGAAAATCGTAGGCCGTGCTGTCATTTTGCCACGTACTGTACCTACGCAATTCTCTATTTGCTAACACACAGTCGTATCAATTCCTGTATCCTTAATCCCTTGTTTTCCACTTCCATCGAAGCATCGGCAATCCAATAAGAAGTCCATCAAAACACAGTAGCTGACGCGCGTCGAAGCCCCGCGCGACTATCGACTCGAGTTTGTCGACCAGCCAACAGATCAATGTGCCCGACCTCGAATTCCTCTCCTGTATTCTCGATCAGGCTCACGTCGCGTTCGCCTTTCGTCCAGCCGTCTCTGAACCGCGTTTTAAGTGTCGTTATTACGGCAATAAAAATTTTCGACCGGTCACAGCCGAGATCGATGATTCGAGACGCGTCCCCGGCTGTTCGCTGCTCGTGGACAGGTTCGCCGGGGTCCTCTGTGTCTCCTTGGTATCTGGGTAACTCGATCGAGAGAATCGAGCCCCGGTGCAGTAGGGGCGCGAGGACAAAAGGGCGAAAGAATGGTGGAACGGCGAACAGTGGACGCGCGCTAAATTATCGCGTTCGGATTAAATAGTAACGAGAGATCTCGTGCGCTTCTTTCATCGTGCGTGCAAGGAGAGCTTTGTTCCGCGCGGACAAAGCTGGTCGCGTTCACGTGCAACCGATGCCATCGTGAACACGCCCGCGGCCTTTCGCCTTGACGAGCAGTCATTGAAACGATGCGAGATCATCCGGACCCTATTGCGAGATTATGCTATGATAGGAGAATGGAAATGGGGATCCAATACAGGAGCTTA